CTGAAACCATGACAGGTAAGCTGTTCAAAAATCGCATTTTTTAGTTACATGGCAGTTCGCATAATTTTGTATTATTGTTTTATCTATTATGAAGAAGTTATTATTTTAACTATAATGTTTTTTTTTCTCAGAAAACACTATTTCCGTTTATTAAAATAATCACATTTTTTTTTCAAGTCCTGATTTAAAAGATGTGTCATTTTTTTTTCGCTGTTCTAACTGTCCAAGTAGAATTGTCTGAAAATTATTCATACATTTCCCACCGTTTTATTGAACAAATGATAAACTCACAATAATAATTTTATGACGATACATAAATTTCGGTATTATTGTTGTTCATTAAGCTGGATTATGTTGGATCAAAGCCAAAGAAATAAAAAAAAAAAAAAATACGAAAAACCAACTTAATCGTCTTCCGCTTAAAATCGTTTTTAAAAATCGATTCAACGAAAATTACCCTATTGAGCACATTTTCCACTTCCCGGTAACACCAGTTACATACACACGGTGTGAATAACGTGTCCGGTTTTTTCGACATTCCATGATTGAATATTAATTCTGTTATAATATTGTCATATAAAATGTGTAAAACTTTTTTCCTTGAACGGACACCGTTGTCGATGATGATGTCGTTATATCGATTCGAACGGCACACGCACTTACCTGTGTAGGAACTAGGCAGTTTGTTAAAACGCAGAACAAGTACCGTGTAATAATATGTTATTATTTAATGCCGGGGTTATTATATCGATTTAATAACAAACAGAATTCCGCTAGACTTTCATGAAACTTAATCTCGATTCGCGTGTTTCTACGCGGTAAAAAATAAAAAAAAAAATTAATAATAATTGACTATTATTTTTTGATGTCTTGAATAATTTAATAACATTTCTTGATAAGTCATAAACAATTATATTATAATAATTATAATATTCTTTCTGAAAAAATAATGTTTATAACACATGCACGCGTACAAATAAAGAATATAATTAAATTAAATTGTATCCAATTATTTTATTAACGGTGATCGGAAATACAAATAAAAAAAGTTATGAAGGGAATTATATCGAGATAAGTACGAAAACATAATACATTTGTTTGTTTCTCGAAAAATCGTTCTATCATAATAATATTATGATCAATGAGAAGAGTTTTTTTTTTTTTTTTTTTTAATATACGACTACGGTGCGTAAAATTAATATTTTTCAATATTTTCAAAAAATATGTTATATTATAATATACCTATATAATATGTGTTTTGTTATTTTGTTTTCATCTTCAATATTAAACGACAAAATATGTATGTTATGTCACGTTTTAACGAACGGTGCCGCAATTTCCTATGTAATTTTTTTTATCGAAACATTGTATCTCTTATGAAAAGGAACCGAAAAAAAAAAGATAGGCATTTAGATAATATTAAAAAAGTTTATCGTATTATTATTATTATAACTACCGAAATAATTCGCCATTATTCTTCCGTTTGTAATAAAATAATATTATACAGTCTATGCAATATACCTAAAGCTATATTAATAATAATAATATTATTATTATAAGGATCAAATTCAAGCGAGTTTTACGACGTATGCTTAGCGCTTGAATGCGGATTTTCGGGTGGTACGACATAGTTTTTAAATTAAATTTCACGTGTATATAAATGGTAAAAAGTTTATGACAAACACTAAAAAAATCTACAGATTAGTACGGTGATTGATGTGGAATCTAACTGTCAGAATAAAATATATATACATGCATAGTCCTTGATGTCTTCAGAGATACAATATAACTTTGTTTTATTATTTTTTATTTTTTGTCAACGATCGCGTTTTATTTATTTATGATGTATTGTTTAACATAAATACATAATATTTAAACTTTTACATTCTTGCAATTTGTTTTTTGAATATAAATTACCAAATTATACTGTATACCTTATGCAATTTTCTTTCTATGTATAGGGATGATCGAATACTCATTTAACTTTTTGTTGGTCTTGAGTAGAATATAATAATGTAACGGCGCTATTTTTGAGGGCGCAATTTAATACAGTAAATCCCGATACCTTGTCGTATGTCGAAATATGGATATTTTTGGTTGACGGTACTTAATTTTGGGTATATGTCTTCATAGACAAAAAGTGTTCGTTGATCAACTTTCCGATGATAGTTGACAATTTTTAACAAAATTTCCGGGCACTATTCGATCATGAGTGTCGATGAAGGCTACAGATATATAGGACTGTACATAATATTTGATTTTCGTTGTTACGCAATCCGCTCTATATTTGATAGCACGTGAATTGTTCTAAAATTATTCATTAAAACGACACTAGTATTGATTGAAAGACAAATATTGGGAATTCAAGCTAGGTAGTATGCGTCCTCAAATTACTTTGAACTATGTAAATTATTAAAAATTTGAAACCTAACCATTACCGGTTTACAACTTCGTTCCCTTCTGTCGCACATGTTCTCCCTGATTCACACTTAATATAACTTACATTCCATACAACTTAAACTCCATTTATACATTCTGTTAGTACATAAACTAGCTTTTTTCGTTTATGCATTTTAATTTTAATTCGATAAAATAATGTAAAGAATAAAAATAAAAACGTTTGTACGTGCAACAAACAATAATGTATCTTTTTATAAACTGTCATAAAACGCCATGGATAATAATTAAAACTTATGGTTTCCATCATAATAATACAAACAAAACCCACGTATTGTGTAATATCTATTATAGTAATCTTCAGTATTGAGCNCATCATAATAATACAAACAAAACCCACGCATTGTGCAATATCTATTATAGTAATCTTCAGTATTGAGCATTATTTAGATAGATACCAAATAAATGATAGTTAAATAATTATCTATTAAATTTTCTAGATAATCGCCAAAATTTACAATTAGATGAATTATCTTGGATGAATAATTGTTAAACCTAGTTTAATCCATTTGGATAATTAAATTTTAGGTTTATTTTTATTCGAAAAATTAAATAGGACAGAATTAAAAATATCAATTAATAATAATTCTCCGTTTTACTGTTTCACGTGATTTTCAATTCTTTACTGCCCGGATACGGGTTCTATGATCGCAATGTGACCGTTGTGTAGATCACATGTGTGATTCATAGTGAATAATAAGTTAATTTACCCATATCAAATACACACCTACACACGTTTACACAACAACGATATTTTGATTGATCTTTGTCTGCTCAATTCTAAATACGGTTAACATAAATCAATCGTTTTCCTAAATTAATAATGGTATAAATTTATGTAACCGTTTCTATACATTTTATATACGAACCGGTGTTTCTCTCTGACATGTCTCCGGGGGGCTGCACCCTAAATATATTAACATATTAACAATGTATATTGTTTATATAAATATATATTTGTATTCATAAAAAAAAACAATTGTTTTGATTAAAATACATTTTTTTTATATTTCTTTAATCCAGATGAACTGTCGTAAATCTGTTATCTTTATCTATACCATTTATATTTGAACTATCTTTTATCTGTATTTAGATAAATGTTATCCAATCATCTTTCATCTTTATCTAGAAAACTGTTAAGTCTGCGCAACACTGGTTATGTGTTACAAAAATATATATTTACTATTAGATTAATATATCGTGTTTTTAAGATTCAGAAGCGCGAAATAAGTATATGCTAGTAGCGCGTGCAGTGTATGTACCATGTAGTATTTCTTTAAGCCGCCATTTTATGTATTATTTTGGAACACTTAATTTGAATTTTAAATGTCTATTATTATTCAGCTAGCACTCCACACTTGTTCTGTAATAACTTGTGGACCATCTTACTCCCCCATGGCCTCCTACATTGTTGTTACCAGTCTTGTATATCTTGATATACGGATACCCGTGAATTTGATCGTGACTTGAATATTGCTCGTTACTGTATTTGATGAAATTTCAGTTGTCGAACGAAAAATAGCAGCAGAATCATAAATGCAAATATCCTAAACATTTTTCGTGGGTGTTTTAAACCCCTTAATATTGTTTATATATACTTAGTATTAATTTGATAAGGACTTGATGTGAGTGGGCTGAGCTAAGTTTTGAAGGAGCTAGCCCTGTCCCCTTAGCCCTCTCTTGATACACACATAGATAAATGGAAGGGAACTTTATACAATAACCTATAATATTCCAATCATGATGGCATCGATTATTTATCATCATTTACATAATATTTATCATTAATAATTGATTTACAAACTGAATTAATTATTAAATGCATTGTTTATTTATTGCATTGGAAATTTCGTGTGCAATTCATATATTATTTCATAATATTTTACGCAGGTCGGGCGCGTTCTAAATTTCGAAACATGAAATCTCCTGTCGGCGCTTCGAGTATCCGATGAAATACAGCCGTCTACCGTGTAATTTACGGTTTGAAAACTTACGCCACCCTCGAAACAACAATGTTGTTTATTCTTTGTAGCTGCCTGATTTCCTATGGGACCCGCCGAGTTAGTGGCATTTTACCAAATTCCAGATTTACGACTGTACTGCAAAATAGTTTTGTATGTACGCGGGCATACATCGTAATGACGTAGTGATGTGTGTTGCGGTCGCGTTTACGAGAAGTCAACGATCAACAAGTAACGAGATTTCAAACTATAATGAAAAAATTATAATTATTATTACAATAACGTTGATAATGATGGAAATAACGACGACAAAAAAAAAAAAAAAAAAACAAAAAATTAAAAAAAAAAAAAAAAAAAAAAAACAATAATATAAACGGCTATATCTACATATTCTCACCTCGTAATAATATGCTTCTACATATTTTTAAAGCTCGGTATATTATTATGTGTACGTCCACGCAACAACAGGTGATTTTTCGATGTCTATTTAAGTGTAGTTTATTTTTGTGTGTGTGTTTTTCATCGCGGAAAATTGCACGCGCACGAAATAAATTAATTTCGTTTTTAATCCCGCGGGAAATGTGTGCCTTTTGGTCGCATGTCAACCAATCCCACCGGATTACGATAATACCGCGGAAAACCCCACGGAACAAGTTGCGTGTTTCGGTCCGTTGATATGTGTGTGTGTCCCTAATATGCACAGTGTATACGTTATAGAGCTGCCCACGATATTGCGTTTCGGTGCAGGAAAAACAAAATATTTACTCGAAAGTCCCGTGGTGGTGGACGACAAGGACCCTATTATTGTACGCACCTCACGGATAAAAAATTTTTTTAAAAATAAAAAAACCATAGATAGTCGATCTGATAGAGTATTAATGATACCGATGCTAACGAAATGGGCGACTTTTCCTATCAACGATTTCCGTGCTTCGTGATAACCTCATAAATTTCCAATATAATAAAATGGGAAATAAAAATAATTAATATACTGAAATATTTATTATATAATTTACTTACGCAAAGTACGTATAGATGAACCGGAAACAAGAAGGTTCTGTATTGTTTGTTATTTTTAATTTTCAAATTTCACTTTTCACATTTTCACTCTAAGCAACGGGGAATGCATCTCTTATAATTACATTCAACTAAATAGCTAATAATTACTCTTGTATCCAAAACATAACGTTCTATACATCTTTGGAAATTCAATTATTCAATTGTGTTTGGTATAACACAATACGGATGCATTATGGACAATAATCAAAAACGATTACAAACACACTTAACACAACTTAACTTTACAGACTTTATACATGTATAACTGGTAAGGTATTAATATTTAATATTTAAAACCGATCAAAAACATTGAGGTAATAGCAGAACAATTATTTTATAAATGTTTAAACAACTTTCACAGTTTTATAAGTATTAAAAGTCATACAGTATTATATTTAACACGACCGACAGTCGTAAATTTGTCTTTAAATTTATTTGGTTTAGATATGTCCTAAAAAAAAAAAAATTAATAATGTAATATTTTTTTTTATAAAATCGATACCTAAGTAAATTTCTCGTAACCGTATAAATAATTGACATGCGTATAATAAGACTTTAATAAAAATGTACTTTATTTAAAATAGATTCCTATTGTTTTATTTAAATTCGTGTAATATGCCCATATAGAAAAAAAAACCTTTTTAAGGTTTAATAAAAATTAAGGTCAATGATTATTTTTTATTCAGAGGGTGTGTTGCTCCAACAGTACTATAATATAACAGCACGCAATCTAATTTCGATTTTTAGTTTTAAAAAGTAAGTAATAAAAAAAAACCCCTATAACAATTTAATAGAAATTATACAAATTCACGCACATGTTAAATACTTGAAAATATTTTAATATATTATAAAAACTTTAATAAAGTCATTGATGATGTAATGTTGTTAAATTGTTTCTTTATTTTGTTGCAAGAAGGGCCAATTTCACATTTTGTGATTGTTGGGAAATGGGTTTTGAAATTTTAATTCCCCACAAAGCTTTGTGTATTTTATTTAATATAACTTTTTGGTATTTTTCAAATTTTTATAAAGAATTTTCTTTTTTATTTCTAACTGATTTTTCCATAGATTTATATTCTTGGAATTTTTTACTTAGTGTGATCTATCTTTTATCATGATCTGGCGATTTTCTCTGAGTAGATAAATTGAATTGATTTCTGTTTTTTTTTTTCTTTTTTTTCTTAAAACATTATTGACTCGTTTTATTTGAACACTGTTCTCAAATATGTGCCATTTTTCTTTACGCGTTAAATGTATATGCACTTGGATTTTTTAATAGACCCCCCTCTTAAAAACACAGTTTGAAATGTACGCTAAATCAGTAATAAAGAGTATCAACTATAAATGTAGATGAATATATTGGTATGAATTTGAAACTATTTAAATCGACTTACCCGATATTAGTGTTATTAGTATAAAAAGTTTGTTGTGCGAATTTGGGAATAGCGTTGAAACTGTTGAAACAGACCTAAAAAGATTTTATAATGAACGAGAAATCAAATTCAATAATAATCGTCCGAAAAAAATCACTATTTTATGGATAAATTAATCATTCTAACCCTAAATATCTTATAATTATTGATTATGACATTGATGTTTTGATTTAGTAAAGATTAAGTAGATGATATTGTTTAATTCTATGTTTTTTTTTTTTTTTTTTATGTTACCTATCTTATACATCATATGTTTTATTGATTGTAAAATAATTAAATATTTAAATTTATTTATCCTTAAACTTCAAATGTGACATAAATTCTATTATTATAATTGTAAGAGACCTGTATATTTCTCAAATACGTTATTAAGTGTTTCACTTAGAAATATATTATTATGGTGATAACGTTAATAATATTATTTAAATTAGAAAGTTACAGTTATAAAGACACGTCTATTATCCATTTTCAGTATTCTGTATCTAACCAATTATAAAGTACAGATTACCGATAAAGTGCAATCAAAAATAATTACCTAGGTAAAAGACGTGTCGTGTACAGTAGCTACATACTATTAATACTGTTATGATTGATATCCATAAAATAATGCACACGAATACTCAATTTTTGTCTGTTTATATACCTATTCGCTATTTGATTATTATTGGTTTTTCAGTTATTGTAATGTTTTCCAAAATAAAAGTGCATGTAACGTGTCAAGTTGATCGGATCACGGGATTTAAGTAAATACTCGATCGCAAGGTTCTAATTACCGATAGAAAAAGCGAGTGAAATAAAAAACGTTTATAAATAATAAGTATACTTATTGAGTTCTTATATTTAATTGTAATTATAATTATTTTTAAAGATATTTATACCGCATTGTTTTCATGTTTTTATTCAAAGAATTTTATTCACACTTTAATACGTTCAATCGGAGTTTCGCCGATACTCGAAGTATTAAGTTTATCGAATTTACGGGATTTGTAATAAATTTTTCTATGTAAAAATCAAAAGTGAGTAATGGTTCCGGATCAAAAACAACATCTACAAAAAATAACGATTAAAACTTTAGAACTGTTTATTTTTTCTTAATCTCTTTAAAAAGAAATAGTCAAAACAAAATATACATTTAAAAATATTGAGTATCTCACATGTTAATTATGTTAAACACACTGTATAGTAATGTTATTCCTCCATGACCAACCATGTATTATTCATGTTTCTTGTACATATAAATATAGTTGACCGTGCGCATTTGTGGTTGTATACCTACATCATAACTCTTAAAAAACGAAGAGTTACCAAACTGAAAATAAGTTTAATGGTTGAAAAAAAAAAACTCCGTCCGATTTGAATTATTTGTATAAGATTTCGGCTTTCCCCCTACCGCCTCCTCAACACAAATATACAAATAACGACGAAAATTCAAAAATAAAACTTTAAACGTTGTTCGCGACAGAAAGAAAAACTGTGTACCTTACTAAAACAGACAAACATCGCAAACAGTATAGTTTTTCTTTTTTATACTTTATATAATACGCATAAATTCAATGGTAAATACGAAATAAAAAAAAACCAAAACTACTATATTTTTAAAATTCCGTGTTCCGGCAAATAAAGTAAATGATTGTCTCCACCGAAATTATTGTCGTCACATTGACGACGACACGTCGATTTATCGTTTATTTACCAAAGTCTTAGAACGAGATAAACATCTGCTATAATATATTGTTATAAGGAATGAAATATTGTTATGAAGAACTACTCAATATACCATCTACTCTTATGTTTGCTCGTTTAGTTTTTACTATAGTTTTTGACTGCAGTGTCGTAGTGATATATTATACAAAGTGATGAACTATAGTGATGAAACGAATGTGGTCTCTGAGAAGCAATTGCTTATCAAATTGTTTTTTTTTTTTTTTAAGATTTATGTGTGCTCCATATGGAAATAACCGAACATTAATGATCGTTTACTACTAATCCGGTGTAAATAGTAGAAAATATTAGAATATAGTGGTAATATTCGAAAATATCTGTGGGTGGGTACCGAGTAGATTATATAAGCTGCTACTGGGTTATATTAGGTTTGTTACTTCACTGGATCAACAAAGCATAAAACTCGAAAATAATAGTTAAGGAAAAACAACTGCAATTAAAATTGCATAGCTGTTTTTTTCTCTTAGATTTTCTAAAAAACAAATAACCAAAACAGAAAATACCTTTCAAAATATTGTGTATCTTATGTTGATCTTATGTTGATCATTCTGTATAGTACCTATGTTATTTCTCCATGACAAATCATGTATTATTCATGTTTCTCGCGTATATAAATATAGTTGACCGTGCGTATTTGTGGCGGTGGCCTAAATAATAACAATAATATTCTTTCGAAACTAAGGGTGCGAGAACATAATAAAAAAAAAATATATATATATATATATATATTTATGTATAAAACGTAGATAGATATAGAAAAACGAAACAGGAAAAGAAAAAGAGGACGCCGTCAAAGAGAGTGTATATACGCGCGTGTGTGTTTGAAAGAGGGAGAGAATTATTAGTGTATATATGAGAAAAGTGTTGAACGAGTGAGAGACGAATGGAACGGGGAAAACGGTAGAAATAATACGGAATAGACCTGGTGGAAAACATATAGCGATGGGGGGTTAACCACTATTATTAGGGTCAACTGCACGCGTGTGTGTATGTGTGTGTGTGTGTGTGTGTGTGTGTGTGTGGGTGGGTGTATCTATGTGAAAACCACCTTTAGTAGTCCCGAACACAAAATAATGGTTTTTGTAGTGTATTCAAATAACGTATTATTATTATTATCATTATTATTATTATTATTATACGGTCGTGTACAGTGTTAAACCTTTAAAATGTCCCAATTTATATTTATATAATGTGTATCATACATAGATTCAGAATACACACAAACGCACACACACACTTATCGGTCAAAAAGAGGAACGATTGCTGTGAACACAATATATCATTATTATTATAATTTTTTGAACAGCCGCAGAAAAAAATATGCATATTATTATATGATTACGGAATATAAAAATAGTAAATGTACTACAATATAATTGCATATAATGTACTTTACATTTTTAACGAAATTTACATAAAATTTAAAATAGTATTGGGTTCGTTAAAAAACATACTTTGTACAGTTATTTCTCAGTTCGCTTTCTGTTACAGTGCCGCAGTACACGGTTACCGCGTATTACAATTTGAAAACCGATGTTTGAGAGCGAACTATAAGCTGGTGCATAAGTTCCGATGTAAACGATTCTCCAAATTTTCTCGAATTTAAAAAATTACATATTTTAAATGCCTATTAATTTTTATACCTTAATGATAAGTCATTTTAATTTATCTGTTGCCCGACACCAATA